ACTGGGTGTGCAAGGAGGAAAGTGCCAAAAGCAGAATTTATAAAGTCCAGTTTTCATGTTATTCCAATTCTTATATCATAGAAATCCAACAAACTTTGGGGTTCAGTGGGTTCCTCTTCCTCAGGGCTTAGTACTGTTGAATAAAGTGTGTACTGGACTGATAGAATTACAGATATTCTGAGGGGTAATTAGGATAATCACTTCAGATGCCAGTTAAGCCTTAACCTTCATGTGGAGCAATCATACTAATTGCTTCCTAGGATGCCTCCAATGCCATCATCTCTGAGGAAAAGGGATCCTTTAAACCCCCAAAATGTGTTGGCTTTTTATGATATTAGAATCTGAATAAAATACATCTTGGACGTTCTGCTTTTAGGGCTTTCCTCCATGCACAGCCAATATTAAAAACCCGATGAGGCATCTAACTACTCCAAAACTGAAAACAATTAAAAGTTTGGGATTTAAATGCACTTTAACAAAATTCAGTACTTGGGTGCAAATTAGGCAGCCAAATATAAAGTTGGAAAAAAAAAAGCTAAAGTAAATTGCTAATGTGAATTTGGTACTCCATATATATTAATTTTAAATAAAAGGCTATAACTAAATGTACAGTTCTGAAAACAGGGTTATAGTTATTTTTACTGTAAATTTCTTTTTAATAATTTAAAAAATGAAAAATTACATAAAATGGTTACAAATGAACAAATAAGATACATGGGCACCAAAAACATTCATTGTTGTGCAAAATAACCAGGATCAGAGTGGGCTAGGGTATCAAAGGACGTGTGCCCTAATGCCCCAAAATACATGTATTGTTTGTATAATATTGTGAATAGTGAAGTAGGGCCCACATGCAGGCCTGCTTCTAAAAACAAGCTCCAAGCCCATTGTTGGTTTGTTAACAATCAACATGTAAAGCAGAAGAAACAAGGAGAAAGTTAGCTAGGAAAAGTAGAAAGTTAGCGGGGATCGAGTGGGTTGTAAGGGAAAGAAGGGGGAAAGCGGTTTTGGAGGAACAGGGAGGGGGGGAAGGGGAAGAGATCCCGAAGTGCCCTGACCGATGATGTTCCAGTGTCTTAAATGCATACAGAGTGGCTATAGCATTTGTCCCACCTCTAGGGGCATGTAGTTTGTTATCCACGGGTGCTCCGTGAAAATTAATTTATCTTGATGAATAAGGTAAAAGAAGGTACAATTTACTTTGCAAAGAACACCCAATCATGTGCGAGGAAAATAAGAAAAACAGGATTGTTGCTTGCACAATTGGACAGCTGACATCAGTACAACTTCACCTCATTTACTGTGCTAAGTGAATTTTCTCTTGGCAAAGTGAATGCTCACTCAGCTTAGGGAATAAGGTGAAGCTGTGCTGATTCCACTTATTAAAGCTTGTGTGAGCAAAAATCCAGTTTTTTAAATTTCCTTTCAGATGTTCATGTATTCTTGCTAAAGTTAATTTTCCCTTTGTCGCCCCTCATTCACTGAGCTAAAATTCACTTTGAAAGTGAAAATGGTCTACTACATTTTAATAAATCAGGGTCACTGATTCCTAGCATTCATGAACAAAGGTAGGCAAAGACACAAAACAATTCTGACTGTCTGATATAGGATATTAGCTGACTGGCAGGATAGTAGCTATGCCAGGTTCAAAAGTTCTAAATTTCAACTAAAATTTAAAAAAAAAAGTCAATAGGTTATATTTAGATCTGTTACTGGAAATTCAGAACAAAGTTTTTTTTTTTTCCTGGAACTACATTTTTTCTAGTATCCTTGTAGATTGTTTTATTGTGTTTGGCTTTAGGAGTTATGTGTAAAATTATGTCGAGCAGTTTTTGGCTTTTTTATGCAACACCAGTAAGTTTAGTCAGCAACAAAACATGAAAGGAGCACTAAGTGCAATATAAAAGGATTTGATTTGTGTATGTGTGTGTGCAAATGTCCGTGTCTCCCCTAATAAAGCTTTACTCTAATTGTACATGTTCAGTTGGTAATATAAGAATGCTTCTTATTTAAAGAAGCCTTTAATTTTACTGTGGTTAAAACTAATAGTCCTTTGCTTTCATTCTTCTAGTTTTTACCCCTCATTTTCTTTTTGTGTCTGCACCTGTTTGCACCACTTTCACATTGAATGTAAAAATGATGGGTAATCTTTTGGCATTAACCTTGGTGTGTGATAATATGCTGCTTGGTCTGAAGAATAATTACTAAGACCAGATCAACTGAGAATTGAACATTCTCAGTGTGCTTCACACACGCCTGTGTCACATTGTCCAGTCTAAAGAAAGAACTTTTGTTCATATTTAATGCTATAAACATTTGTTGCACGGGTCTTTTATCAGCTCACATCTCCAGTGTAACTCTGGAGAAGACCTTATATTAAGCTGCTACTTACAGATTAAAACAAAGCTGCCATAGTAAGATAAAACACAAATCCCGCAGCCTGTTTTGTAAAATGAATTATAGACATTACACGCGATCAAGTGCATAGTAATCTAATGTCCTAGGTTACAATTCAGAACTGATCCTATGCTAGGCTGGGAATGTGTCAGTATTACTGTCACTATATTTCACCTTCATACCTTACTATAGTAGTAAATATTGCATGTGACATTGCTACCCCTTTCCAAAAAATGCTTAAATATGTAATATGTGAATAAAAATGTGGTGCTCTTGATGTGTTGCACTACTGGCACTGGATTTCGTTTTAAAATTAAGGCACAAACATTTAAAAGAGATAAAGTTTTGAAATAATGATTCAGTAAAAAGTAATTTATCAAGTACGAATTTTAAAGGTTCATTAAAGCATAACTTTAAATTTTTTAATTCCCCCTTCATGTGTTTTTTTTTTCATCACTTCCAGTGCCACTGTGCAAATTCTCAGTTTCTTAGAGCCAGGAGAAGAAGCTGGTGAAGCAGATCTCTGCTTTATCAGCTTCTTTGGGGCCCGTATGTGATATTAGGGGTCTGAAAGACCCCTGATTTCCCTATAAAGAGGACCTGTCACATCATATTTCCTATTACATAGGGGGCTCGTTAGCCCCCAATGTGATAGCAATAAAGTTAAGCGTATAAAAAGAAAATTTTAAAAATCAAGGTAACATACATTTTTTTTTAAAGTCCCCCGCATATATACAAATACAACTACAAACATGTATTGGATGTGCGTACATGCAAAAACCAAAATTGTGCCACACATGTTACATATTGCCACGAACATTGGAGCGAGAGCAATAATTCTAGGGCCATTAATCACTGCTCACTAAACTGATGATCAGTAAAAGCTTTAAGAGCGTCGCCTATGGGAAATTTTGGGTGTTGTAGCATTTTGCGGTTTCATGGGCACATGCAATTTTAAGGCATGACATGTTTGGTTCCTATTTACCTGATGTGACCCCTTCTTTTATATTTTACCAAACAATAGGGTATTATATTCTGTTTCTGTGCACTAAAGTTCTTTTTAGTAGAAGTGCACTGAAATAGAAATTAAAAAACCGAAACGAAACCGAAGTAAAAAAATTGTCAGGCCGAAAACCGATACCGAAATTTTTTTTATTTTAATTTTATCAAATTTTTCAAATATTTTATTTTTATTTCTTTTTTATAATGGCCGCTCGGCCAGCTGCGGCTTTCAGCACGGCTCAGCCGAGCCGATGCATATGCGTTCGGCTCGGCTGAGCCACTCGCCCATGACCGGGAGCTGTACGGGCTATTGTGAATAGCCCGTACAGCACCCCTTCGGTTCTACTGAACCGAAGGGGTCCTAGGGCCGAAGCTAGCTGAAGGATTGGCCGAACCTATGGCCAGATCCTTCGGCAGCTTCGTGAATAGACCCGAGAGTCCTCTATCTCTTTTTCTGTGTCCCCTGTTATAAATGAACAGGAATCCTATATGAGTGTGAATAAAAGTTATGCTTTAATAAACCTTTAAAATTAGTACTTGATAAATTACTTTTTACTGAATAATTATTTCAAAACTTTATCTCTTTTAAATGTTGGTGCCTTAATTTTAAAACTAAATCCAGTGCCA